GGGTGCTCTGGTACAGACCACGACAGGAATGCCACAAATCCCCCAGCACTATGCACTGAATTCTTTGGGCTGCTTCAGACACTATCTGTGGTCATGTAAATTTGCCAAAAGTTATATAAAACAATGGAATGCAGGAAAAAAAGCCAACCCAAAGTTTGCTATTTGCTGTCTATAAACTAAAGTAAGCATCTTACTCCTTTTGAAAATACACAGTTAATAAAGAAGGAAATAGATGGCTAACTAATAGATGGCTAAAGATGAGGAAGCAAGAGTCCTTCCCTTATGTTTAGTTAATGCTTGATTGCAGCTATTGGAATAGCTTACATGATTATTCCTTTCATTAAAACATGTTCTAAATAGCTGTCTAGTTTTACAAGTCTTGTGTTACAGTGGTGTAAGTGGGGAAAAGATGAAGAGATGTTGATGTGCTTCTCCATCTCCTGAAGCATATTGACAAATATTATCTAATGCTTTTTGATGACAACATAAATAAACTTCTTCCTACATTTTTACTGTACTGAGTCCTGTTAAGGACAGCTACAAGACATGGCAAAACACAGAAGAAAATTTGTTTCCTGGGTCATAGTGGAAAATATAGTCCCTTTTTGTTTTCTTTTTGTTTTGTTTGTTGGGTTGGCTGGTTGGGTCGGCTGGTTGGGTCTTTGGGGTGGTTTTTTTGTTTGTTTGTTTGTTTTTAAAGCACATCTTTCTGCTTCTATGGCTTAAGTAACAGGTATTTCCCAGCAATTGTTTTCCCCAATTCTCATATTAAATTTTATTCTGGGTGAGGTGCAGGCAAGAACAGTTATTTTGTACAAGGAGAGGAGTGTGCTTTTGTGAAAGCCAATGTCCCCAGTGAGGGAGTAGGATTAGATGGCTGTAGCAGGGGTGAGCTGGACTCTGCTGACAGGGGTGTTAAGGGTACTTTTGAAATCTGCAGAGGGCAGAAGTAGGATAAGTGGCCCAATGATGGCTTCTGTGATGGTGTTTTGGAAGATCTTGAGCAGGACAACTGTGAGCTGGGAATTAAGAGGATAGTAGGGAACAGTAAGGATTAGGTTCTGGGTTGGCCAAGAATGAAGGAGAGATGTACTTTGGAGCTTTGGTAAATGCAAGTTCTGCAGCAGGGGAGAGCTTTCAGACAGGAGCAGCAGGGAATATGAGATTTGGATACCGAGGCATGAGTTTTTGCAGACTAGAGGAATGCAAGAGAAGGGAAGCTGTGATGCAAGACTCTTAGAAACTGCTAAGCAGGAACTGGTTTTTGGACTGCTGGTTCTTCCCTTATTCTCTATCTAATTTTCCTGTTGGACTAGGCAGCCTAACTTCTTTCCCATTCACCCAACATCAGGGTGACATGCTATCCCAGATATGCTATCAGATATACTGTCCCAGATAAGCATGCTGTGCTATAGTTCACTGTGTGGTTATAGAACAGTATTATTTCCTCCCTGAATACGCTGAATTTGCTGAGCACTGAAAGTGCTGTTACAAATTTAGCTGTCTTCAGTGGGAGTCCTAAAGCTTTGCTTTTAGAGTAGACGTTCTCAAGAGCTGCAAGGTCATTACATGGGACTGCCTCATTCCCAAAATTTTCTCTAGGCTTTGAGTCTTGCTTGCAGCTAAGATACTTCTCATTAAATTTAAGACCTCTTCCTGGCTGCCCTGGACTTCCTCTGAAGCCAGTCGAAAAAAGAAAGCAATCCTTGAGGGCAAAAAGGTTTTTAAAGGGGAATCAATTCCTAAGATCTTGTCTTTTGGAAAAGCAGTGGAAAGAGAACTGATGCACCAATTTAGTTCTTCCTATTAGTCTCATTCTATTTCTCCTGTTCCATAGTACTGAACTTTAGACTCACCTCCTTGATGTTAATGTATTTGTTTTGTTTTGTGTATCCTGCAAATGAACTGTCAAGCCATCTCATGTGCTTATGCTCGTCTTGCTCTTCTTCAGTAATCAGCTGATATATAAGATCATCTACTACAGGCCATAAAAGAAAATTACTTTCTTTTATCAAAGTGGTAGAGCTGTGGTGTTTTGGAAATTAAGGTCAAGAATTTTGTTCCTATGCTTATAGATTGAGTGGATGTCCCTAAAACACCAGCATTTACCAATGTCACATTCGGTGTGTCTTTGGTAGCGTTGTTGACAAGCATGAAAATTCCTTGAGCAATAGATAACAACATTTGAGAGCAACCTCCTCGTGTAACTTGGGATCTGTGGTGTTTTGGTCTGGATCACGTTTATAGCAAGGTCATCATTTTTACCATGCATTGACCCATTTATCCTAGAAGATAACTTTGAGTCTATATCTTAGACATGAAAACTAATGATTTCTTTTTATCAGAAAAATTTCAAAGTATTAATCAAACGGGTGTGAAGCTGCTTTAACAGCCTAATATATGTAACATTCTTTTTATTTTGCTACAGTCCTATGAATCAATTTCTCTTCTCTGATAAATGAAAAATTATTTAACTATCAGGTAATGTCCAAACTCATCCATCAGAATTCAGCTCCTTAGCAGTACCATGGAATGCTGACCTTCTTTCCCTAATAAATTATTGCTGTAGAAATTGTTGGTTGTATTTAATGATAGCAATACGTCACAAGGAACCGATATGTGCATAATGAAACACTGGGTTGTTGAGCATTATTTAGCAAAGGAGACAGTTATTAGGAGCCAGTTTAAAGTAATTAATTTTTAAGTTCTTGGTAAAATAATTAATAATTTATAGTTTAATTCTGTTGCTTCTATTTTTTCTTAATGTGGCCTGTGTGTTAATGAAGAAACCTCAAACGTCTCTTTTACAAACTGTGTCTGAACTCAGAATACCATACTTTGCCACCTGATGACAAGCAGAAGGTCTAGAGGGAGCTCATCTAACTGTTTTGAAAATTAGCAATACCAAACAGATTTGGTTAAGCATGTGCAAAGAATCAGAATGACACAAAGCAGGTGACAGTCATCAGCCTGCTGCCTACAGAGAAAGGAGGTTTAGTTACATCCAGTAACTAAATGCAGATAGGGAGGCTCTACACCACTTCTCCTAATCTATTATATTTGTCTTCATACCTGGGGGAACAAAGAAATGCTGCTACAGTTGTTTTCATTGTCTAAAACCAAATTAGACCCACTATCAGGTAGCTATCATAATCTGCAAATCTCTTTGACTATAATGACTTAATTAACCTCTGATCACATGCCTACATCAATCTCGTACATTTTCATTTTGGTTTTAGAATTATAGCATAGTTTCTCCATAGTTTACCTCTTCTGTGAGGTTCAGAGATATCCCATAGAAGACGCTGAATAAAGACAGGAAGAAAAAAATGTTTTTTCTCCAGGGAAATTTCTTAAGAATTCAGAAAAATGCTTGCCTTGTGCCAAGATGAAAACAAAAATTGTCCTTTTTTTTACTGAAGAAGAAGAAGGCGGCAGCTTGTCTTAGAGGAGCAGGTAGCCCAGCCGTTGGGAGATGCACTGAGAAAGCAAGACTGTGTTTGTGTTGACCCTGAGATGGCCACATCAGGGAGAACACATGGAAGTGCTTGAGAACAGATCTCCCAAGTATAAGGTCAGGAGTGTCTATAAAATCCCATCTGCTCTTGCAGCTGGTCATGAGGAGTGACCATGGGTCATCACATGTCCAACATCAAAGGATGGGACGGGATGGGACATGGCCATGGCCATGGCCACACAGGGAGATGGAGCTCAACATCGTTTGCTGCTCTAGGCAGAGCCATGATAAAAGATCTGAGATGCCTTCCCGAGAACTTGTCAGGGACTGCATCCAGCCCAAACTCAGGTTGTGTCCACTTAGAGAGGAAGGCTGAGTCCTTTCTCAAGCACCAGCCTATGGTCACGCTAAATGCTTGATAAATACAGTCTAAGAACCAAGGCCCTCATTTGTGCCTTATTTTGCACCAGACATTGAACCTTTGGCTTTCGCCTTCACTGAGTGGTCTGGTCCTTCCAGAGAGGAAGCTTCCCCCTTCCCAGGCCTGGGCGTGTGTCACAGCCACTGCTGGGCTGAGTAACTCTGACAGCTCAGCTTGGAATAACTGTATTGCCAATACTGAAAGATGTTCAACTGCACAAATCTCTTGTTCCCAGAAATTGTGTTTCTGCTAAAGCTACCTTTAAGGAATAAATATAAAGCCTGCCTATTTACCACACAAAACCCAATATTTTCTGAAACATTAATTAATTTATGCACTGATGTCTAGGGATAAGTGTCACATGACTTCTAAAATCCGATTTTCAGAGGTTCTGAGAACTCTGGTAAACCTTGTTTGCAAGGTTTTTTTAAAATTTTGTATTCAAAGCAAAGTACTGTTCTTTTCTGAGTCTTATTTATTTTCCTGGAATGATAGATAGTCTTAATGTTTTATGTTAAATATATTGACTAACATACCCTCATAGTGAAAGCTCAGCATGGTGCTAACATCCCAGTCCTCCAAACTGGGAGATGTGTTGCAGGCAAAGCATTTCTAGAGCTTCGTGCAGTTGCTCTGAGTACTAATCTACTTTTTTAACTGAACATGGGATATTTTGATCTTTTGTAAAAATATATCAATCCTTTGAAGATAAAAGGTCTAGATGACTAACACCCTGATGAAAACCAGATGACAAGTAGCAGATTTTATCTATGGAGAAAGATTTTTAGTTACTTTGGTTTGTGCTTTAGCTCTGGTTCTTATTCCTGTTGACCTAGACATTCTCTTTTAGTAAAATTCAGCATTAATAGCCAGGAGGATTGATGATGTTTAAATGCAGCAAAGACTTAAAATTTTATGTCATCTATGTAGCAGAACTGCAGACAGATTCTCTGCTTGTGCTAAGGCTTTTGACTACAACAGATCTATGATGCTTTATAGAGAGAGATTTGGACCCTGGGGAATGGATTTGTGAGTCTCATACAAATTACTGTCTTTAGTGTCCTAATTGATTCCATCTGTAGTTTTACACCCTTTCCTTTTTTCTTCCTCTTTCCTTTGTAGTCAGAGCTACCTTCAAACTGCAAGTGACGTGCCTGGGGGTCACAACCTGGATCCCTCTGCAAACTACAATTCCCCAAAGTTTCGCTCAAGGAATCAGAGCTATATGAGAGCAGTGAGCACGCTCAGTCAGGCCAGCTGTGTTAGTCAGGTGGGAAATTCTTGTTATAACTTCTCTTATAGGTTAATCACAGATGCCAGAGCTGTTACTAGTGGATGGGTTTAGTTTTTTGGGATTTTTTAATTAATGTCAAAATGAGGATGTGAATTGTCAAAGTAATTCAGTTCTAAGAAATGTAACCCTTGTTCAAAATTTCAAGAAAAATGCTGAATGGTAGAAGCCAGGGGACAGTATCACACGTAATTATTTTCCATTTATTTTTCATTAAAAATGTAAATACTGGTATTTTCACTTTCAGTCTATATTAAATATTTAAATGTTAAGAAGATTCAGATTGAGCATAGAGGGCACACTCCTACAATACACATCCTCTGAAATTATCTACTCTAATTTCAGTAAATGTGGGTTGCCAGATTACGATATAGATTGAAATAATTATGCTGCAAAGAAGCAGTGATTAATCTCTAAACTCAATCCTTCACTTTTCTTGGGTGAAAGAATAAGTCCCATCAATTATTCTATGTATGGGACTTCTGAAAAGAGACATTTTTCCACCCTGCTGGTTTTATGTTCGTTAATTAGTAATAATTCACATTGAAGTGAGATCTGAATCAGGCCTGAAGTGCAAGCAGCCTTATGAAGTATGTGCATGTTCTGTTTATCAGAGGACTTGACATAAAATTTCCAATGTTTCTAAAGTTCATTGGTCCTGACATTTCTTCACTGTGTTGCTCCATGACAGGTGGGCTCTGCCCTTTTCTCAGACGTGTTATTTTATTTTTCCTTGACCATTTAGTGAGGCACCTACGGGTATATTAGCTAATTATACACAATGGTTATGCTAAAAAAATCTTTTAAAAGCGATTTTATATTCACTCACATTCAATTTTTATTCCATGGCTATTCAGGCCTGGATTCAACTCATCTAACTTGAGGCTTTTAACTGAGGCACAACTAAAGCTTCCTCTGTGGTTAATGGAGTGAAAGAGTTTCTTCCAGGACAATGCACATCCCAAGTGGGCTGAGAGCCCTCTGGAAGTGCTTGTCAGTCTCCACTGAGTGTAGAGAGTTGGGAGAGACTAGTTGCTTGACTAATGCCCTTCAGTCAATTTCTTTAATTTATGTGGGATAAATACAATCTTGTACAGCACACATCAGAATTAGAAACAGTCACTCATTTTCCAAACACTTCATTGTTTTTCATAGCTCCCTTGTGAAACCTGTCTCCATCATTCTCATGCCTTGGTTTGGCATTACCCTAGTTTCTTTTCTATTTTTATTACACTCTGGTTTTGAGAAAGTTTCATAAGAGTTAAATCCTGCATTCAAAGCAAGTTGCGTTTGCTGTCACCTCGCAATGCTATAACATAGACCTATTCCAACATCTTCTGCCTCTTTGACCAGGTGCATGGAGATGTCCACTGAACTGTCCATAATGACTGATTGGTTTCAGCAGTGATTAAAATTCTCTATTCCAATGTACATTACCTGGAAGAATGTCCACAATAGACATTTGCAGGTAGATTGCTCAATTGGCCAGATTAACTAAACCTGCTGGATATAGTTGCTTAATTTCTTTTTCAGTCTTCACTAACCTATGTAATTTTCTGTCAACCACATACCTCCTACCCCACAGTCCAGCTCTTTCCAGACCAGTAGTAAATGCTTTTAATATATAATATACAGAGTAAATGTATTAAAATAACAAGTTCTGAACCTTTGCTGCTCCCTGTTCTTTTTCCATGACACCATCATCTTCTTGGCCCACCTACATAATAGCAGTTTGTATGATTTGTGGTATTTTTATTGCCTTTTTTTTTTTGTGAGATCCTTCATTTTTCACTCTTGACCAAGGGTAAAGTCAAGAACGATGCTGGGTTCCGTGGTTTATATTTTTAATTTAAGTTTTAAAACCTTTATTTTTCTATTGTCGATGCCCTTAGTTTGAAAGAAGTGGTTAGGATTTAAAGTGTTTATGGACTACATTACCATAAATTTCCTGATCAATGATGTATGCAAAATATTTCAGCGTAAGGTTGTTTTTTTTTAATCTTTTTGAGATTGCATTAGTCTACTTAACTTTATTAGAAGCAAATTTTATGAAGGGTAATGTAATTCCTTTCAGAGGAGATTCAGTAGCCAAAATGTCTTACATGAAATTAAAATATCAGTTATTCATTATCATCAGAAGTTCCGTATGAAATTTCCATTTACTTAATCAAAATCCTAAAACAGTTGAAACATTTGCACTCACTCTGTTTCCATAATGAATAATGTACTAGGAACAGTAATAATGAAAAATGCACTTAGCAGCCGTATAGAAAAAGTACTATCAACTGGATGTGCTGTTTAGCAATGCCATGAATTTAACTTTATACTGATTCTGATTTCTAGCACTCTCTTCTAAAAAAAAAAAATTATTATCGGGAGGACATAGCTGGATGTCATGCATTTGTCTGTCCGGTGTTAACTTCCTACCTGATTTTGGATAATTTTGAATTATTCAGTTACATTTACAGGTAACTAGGGTTGACTTCAGAGAGCCTGTAAAAATGATCTAGGTAGAATTTAGGCACTCATTTTCAAAACTGCAATACACAGTTCCCTACCAAGAGGTTCCTTGGGCTTGGCCAGTCTGCCGAAACCATGTTTATCATGAAAGCAACCGAAAAATCTACAGTTTTGCATCATGCCCAACCTTCAGGGCAGGGTCACCGTGTAGATACTGGCTCCTGCTCAAGCCCTTCGCGGGAGCTGGAGAGTGCTGCTGAAATCCCCCAAGGGGCCACCTGGTAGGTGATGCAAATAGCCACGCCTTGGGTGCTCTCACAGTCAGGGTTCCTCAGCACACCTGGTGGCAGAAGTATCAGGCTTAAAATAACGCTGCTGAAGAAGAGGCAGCAGTAGTGGCTGCACCTCGTTCTTCCATGGTAGTTGAATGTTCTAACCCAGTTAAACAGGGAATGAGTTGGGTCTCAGCTAACGGTGGTCCAAGTGTTGCTTTCTCATCTGGCCACTTTTCACTCTATTTGAGATGACGGTTATTCTTTCACATGCTTCACTGGACACAACTCTAGATGCGATATTTCTCAAACCTTTCAGAATCATCACCTTGTCTGAGCTTACACTTCTTCAAGTATGAGATACTTCCTTGAACCCCGTTATAGTGAGAGGAAGATAACAACCTACCACACAGGCTAAATGTCTACGTGAGTAGGAACATTGCTGATAAGTGAGGAACCCAGGCAATCCACCCTCACCTTTTGAGGGCTAATGTTAGCATAGCAGATTTTCTACCCTGGCAGAACACAAATTCCTATTAGCGCAGAGTGATCTCGTTGGTTACCATTAAAACATGTATTTACAATCCTTTGAATATGCCCAAAGATAATAAATGTAAAATTAATTGTATGACATGTATGATGTACTTATTATATACATATAAGCAGCTGATGTAAGTTAAAAAAATGTGAATGTGATCAGAAGGGATTACTACATTTTAACTATTTGCTAAAACAGTTCTTCATCAATGTACAGGTGTCCATTTGAGATGTTGAGGCCGTGATGATCACAAAAAAGCAAGTCAAAAATCAAATGCATTGTTGTTGTTTATTCAGATGAGTGAAGCAGAGGTTAATGGGCAATTTGAATCGGTGTGTGAATCAGTGTTTAGTGAAGTTGAAGCTCAGGCAATGGATGCCCTTGACCTCCCTGGATGTTTCCGAACAAGAAGCCACAGTTACTTGCGTGCCATTCAGGCAGGCTATTCCCAAGATGATGAATGTATACCTGCGATGGCATCTTCCAACATCACCTCAACTATCAGGTCAACCACAGGTAAGCAAATCTACACTGACCCTTCCACCTTTCTGCATGTAAGAAAATGGTGTCTTGTTTTGTAAAAGAATGTTTGACACTGGAAGCAATTTCCCTGTGTAGCAATAATATTTGATAACAGTATTCTTAGTTTTGTAATACTGTACTGTTGTGGCTACAGCTTGAAATAAGCTCCTTCTGGGGAGAATCCTGCAAGCATGGACCTGGACTTTTGACCTCCATTTCTCATACAGGTGCAAATATGAAAATGTGAGTGCAAATGGTATCATTTAGATATCGTTAGACATTTGGGTATTTTTATCTATCAAGTAATTGATCTTCTAAATGATACCAGTTGCACTGGTTTTAATTTAGGTCCTTAAAGTCCCAAAAGAAAAAGAGAAGCAAGATTTTAAATATTTGATCTGAACACTTACAGGCAATTAACTTAGCAGGGAAATAGTTACTGTTACTTTTTGAAAAGATGTAACCAGTGATATCAATACAGTGAATCATAAACATTATGGCAAGCTTCATGCATCTGCTATTACTCATCAGTAGCCACTAGAATTCATTCTTACACCATGCGCTTTTAGGATCTTTTAACATTCTTCTGGCAAGTTTCATTTCTCTTATTAGTTGCCTAGCAAAGATGGTAGCTTTATTCATTTTAGAATATTAGTGTCAGTATTGGTAGAGAAAAGATTGCACAGATGGTAGTTAAATAATTAAAATGAAATCTATAACTAATATATATTCTTTAATTGATCCAAATTCACTTTTATGTTTCCAAATATATTCATGTCAATTCCTGATTAAGATATTGCAATATACTATTTAATTGCAGTACAGGCTTCCTATCTACAAAACGTAAAAATATATCTCAAAATGTATCATGCAAAAATACTTTTAAAATTATTTGCTTGACACATCTGTTGTATAACAGAACAGTGGGAGCTTAGAAAGGAAGCAAGCTGAGGTTGAATAACATAAATATGCATTCCAGAAGTAGTATAAAATGTTATTTTATCTTAAGCATAGTATTTTAATTGCTATATATAACTTTGTGTAAAAGCAGAAGTTGTGGCTTACAGTGCCATCTCTAGGGATATTTCTGTCCATTGTTTAATCGAGATGCTATCATGATATAAAATGAGATTTTATTGCTACCCCAGAGACTAATTTTGGTCTTTTTCATATAGTATTGTGTGATTATTATGAAGAAACTTCCATAACAAAAGACACAACCAAATACCTATTTTGGTCTCTGACTCCAAGTACGAAATTGGAATACTTTCAGAATTACTTTGGTTACTGAGTTGATTGGGTTTAACCTAAGATGTCTGGAGTTTATATGCTAGATAAGCCCAAAATTCTCACTGAAAGGAATTTATTCTATATTCTCTAGAGCAACAAAGCTGAATAATTGAATAAGACTGGGGAAGAAAACCAGATTAGGCGGTAAATATGTTTGTATCTCAGTGGTTTCATACTTATGAAAAACGTTTTGCATTGATTAGCAGTCTGCTGGTTAAATACTGTGGTTTTGAAAACATTAACCTTTGTTTCACACATGCCATCTCCCTCATCTTGGAAATGATTTATCAGATAGATTTTCTTGCCCAAATAGGTAACCTTCCTGCTATGTTGTGGTGAGATGATATTCACATTGTGGAGAAAAAAGATGATGTGAAATGTTTTCCTGAGCCAAAACTGTTCCCAAGCATGTATGGTTCTGAGTGTGGTTCAGAAATATTGTCTCTGTACCACTGAGCAAGTTTGTCCTCAGCCTCTATGTAAGATAAATATTCGACTTAGAAATATTTATCTGATGTGCAAGAAGAGTAAGGATTGTGTGATTCATTATTAATTGAAAATTTCAGTTGCCAAATAAGTTCCCATTTTTAAAACCCTAGGGGTAACTTCTATATTTCTCTCTTCAGCCCCTGTCACTTTGGAGAGAAATGCTTCATTTCCTATCATTACTGTAATTAAAAAAAAAAAAAATTCTTCTCCACCCCTCTCTGAAAATTGTAAAAGAAGCAGTTGCCTGAAATGTGAAAATGGTGTTGGCAGATATTTGACATTTATACAGGCTTCATTCAAATAAATGTCAGAGAGGTCAAAGTTTTACATCAGCCTTCAGTTCCAATTCAGTCTTTTGAATTCTTAGGAAAATTACATTACATTAAGTCTTTTTTTCTTCTGATGTAACAAATTCTTCTTGGCAAAGAAACTAAAGCAATTTCTTAGAAAATTAACAGCCATTGGAATTTAATTATTACTTGAAATTTTAGTGATATAGGTCATGACTGCCTCTTATCGATGTTGTAAAGCAATTAAATCATAACACACAGGCTTAGCTAAAAATTAATTCATGCAACTAAAAATGTAAATCTAAAATAAAAAATGTAGTATTTGATCTATGAATTCAATTACAAAAGTATGGAATATATATTTACAGCATACAGTTTCCTAAATTGCTCCTAGATGCATTAACAGCTTTCAGAAGGTAGGAAGGTTGCAACTATTATGAATATTATGTAGACATCATTAATGGACTCTGTTAACAGGGTTTTCTAATAGATGCCAAAATAACTACAAGTAACTAGCTCTTCTTAAAAGTATACAAATTTACAGAGAAAGCCCTACTGTTCATTGGTAATATCTATGGTGTTAATGAACACGTAACTTTCATACGGCCTCACATAGTTTAATTATTTGTGGGACCAGGCTTCTCCACCTCCGATGGAGACCGTGTGAGAAGCCGTAGGGCACTACCTGTTGCCCCAGGTGGAAATGAATGAAACAAGTGACAATACAGAGAAGGCAGCCAGTGTGGCTGGCACACTGGAAGCTAGACCTGGACTCTCTGGGACCCCTGCTAAGACTCGTATTTCATTATGGTTCAGGCATTTCTAGCCTTCCCCTTTCATTTTGTAAAGAGATAATGAACCTAGTGCAAAACACTTCATGCTAAAAGCCCTGAATGACAGCGTGTGCTTTCTGACTCGGAACCATATCCCGGTGCAGCTGTCAGATGCACAGCTGAGAAAATACAGCTCCAGCTGCTGCTGCCTCCCACCTTGTCCCTGCATCCCAGACAACATGTAATTTCCTGAGCGGGAAGGCACAGCACGTCATCCCAACTGCGACTGCCCTACGTCTTTGCTACTCTTACAAGCAATGTTTCACTTTTCAGGGAAAGTTCATAAAGTCTGGGTCACTTTTCCAGGTAGTACCACCTCGGTTTTGTATTGTTGAAGGAGATCTGCTTGTATATACGCTACGCCATCAGCCTGGAAGGCTGGTAACACCTGGGCAGTGTAGCAGAGTGCTGCGGGGAGGTATGGAAGCTACCAGAGGTATCGGAGTTGTGCCACCACCGGGCTCAGTGCGTGGTGAGCCCAGGCTGCATAGTCCTGTTGGCAAAGAGAGTGCAATAGGCTGGGAGCAGTGCCCTGTAGCACCCTATCCCACCTGCAATACCTGTGTTGTCTTACTGAAAAGTAATTCAAATACCCTGGTACAACACTGGGTTGTTCTATGGAAATATAACCAACTAGGAGGTCTGGCAGATCTTAACCACTCTCTGCTTGTTTCCCCTTTGCCCGAGAAGGTCATCTTATTTTTGTTACGTGTCCTGTATATCACTGACTTCATGTTTCCTCACAGTTTTTCCTGCTGATGTTGTTTTACTTTCCTGAGAATGCAGAAATCCCGAGTTGCAATGATACTGGAGGTGGCAGTTCGGGTGGTCTGTTGTGAAGCAGAACAACATGTTAAAGTCTCTCCTCTGAGGCAGAAAGCAATTTGGTATTTGCATCTTTGTCCATCTTGGATATCCTGAACCCCAGGTTATTATGTGTTCAGATGTGGGGGCACACTCATTTTCTGCTGATGGCGTTATTATACATTGTATAAAAAGCATCTTTAACGAGAGACACAGTTGCTCTTGCACACTTCTGAGGACACTTGCCCATCAGGAGGATATATGCTCAGTGAATATTGCTTTTATATAAAAATTGAAACAGATGAAACAGAAAAGACTAAATATCCTGTAAGGAGGAACTGAAGCACCCCAGTCAGTGGTGGAAAATCCTTCCCCAGTAGTAAGCACTGACTGAGTGGCCTCAGTTAAGTTCTTTGGCTTCTAGGCTGATGAATAAAAGGGAGCATCATCTTCAGTTTCTTAAAACTACTTCACATTTTCCTCTAACCCAAGTTTTTTGGCTAAAACTGTATTTTTTGATGAATGGATAATGACCAAAAAAAAAAAAAAAATATCCACCAGCTGTGCGCTTCAGCACAATGGGGATTGGGTCACGGGACATAAAGGCATCCTGGATTTCTGTCCTAAGTTAAGTGTCAGTCCAAGGTGACTTCTCCCACTTTAGGGATTTCCAGTTGATCTTGAGAGAAACTTAGCATGAAGCACTGCTGATTTCAGGAGACATAGTTACTAGCCTTAAGTGGCCAGTACACTGCATTATGCTAACTTCATTTTTCTAGAAAACATAGCATAATGCAAACCTGTCAGGTGAGTTGTATATGCACCTCTTTTTATCTAATTTGTATTTGGTAGCTCTACTAAACATGTGGTTACTAAAGAGTCCCCTGAAAAAGATGAGAAGTAGGGAACTGTCTTTTGTCTGTTTTACTTTTCTCAGCCAGTAGGACTCTGCTTGCCAATGAGTAAACTTCAGAGAATTCCACGTTTACTGAACTATTGAGCACTAATTCCAAAACCAATTAATTCAAACAAGGTCACATTGCATGAGGGAGTTTTCAATTACAGCTCATACGATTGCTCAGAATGCCTGAGGAATTGCAGGTTTCCTTTCTCCTGACTTAAAGCTATTTTCAGCTCTCCATTTTGAAATGAGGAGCTGCATAGGGTGAATTTTTAGAGCACATGTTTGATATTCAGCTACAAAACTCTTATTGCCATGAAATAGATTGCATGTTCATGTACCTACAAACATAAAGGCGTTAGAATATGATATTTCATTGAGTTGTAT